GTGCTACATCTGCTGCAGCATCCGAAGGCTAAGTCTGGAAGCTGTGCAGCACTCTCTCTACCTCTGGCTCTGGGCAGAATCTTTTCTTGTTTTCAAAAGAAATTCTGAAATCACAATGACACAGAGGTGTAAACTCCCATTCATCACAGGGGAGGTATGAACTCTAAAGCCTAATTATCTTTCCACTTAAATGGCAACAATGTTAAACTTTTCATTAAGTCAGAAACATCACACTTCTCTGGAGTAGGCAGGAGGAGCTGTTTCTAGAACATTCCATCTTTTCTAAAGGCATTCTCCAAAGAACAAAGAACACTGATCTTGCTCCAATATGCATGTGACACCAATACTTTGGCCCAAAAGAAGAAGTGAATTATTTGAGGTTCGAGAACTGAAGTTTGATGTATTGTAAGAATCAAAAGAAAAGAAGTGAATGAGTGATGATTCATAGGGAAAGAGAGGTGAATACAAAGTTTGTTCAAGCCACAGGTTTTTGAAGGAGAGAGAGAGTTAGTCTAAATTTCTCACATAATATTTATTTAAATGCTAGGCACAGCATGAAAATGGATACATGACTGTCAGCAAAACGGGGAAATCTAGCAGTTGAACTGAAAGATTTTTATTTTTGTTTCTGTTATGGGAAAAAGTAAAGGTTTTTTTTGAATAATAGGTCAAAAATGCACCTTTGGTCTCACAATCAATCACATTTGTAATAAAATGCAAAAAACAGTCTCCCATTTGCTTTTGCCTGTAGTTGGCATAAATATCTGGCACATTAGTCAGAATAAAGCTGTTGAGAATAAGACACAAAGAGAGAGTCATGAAGTGTCTTGACGTTCCTTCTTCTGTCAGAACTTGTCACTTCAGAACAAAGTCAGACATAAATACGATTCTGGCCCTAGTGGATACCAAGAGCCGGCTGTGGGGTGGTCCACTCTGAGACAGGCAATTAGAGAATGCATTGTCTGTAGAGAATTTAAGAAAAATAAAACCAGTTAAAAGTCAGTCTGCCTTGTGTTATTACCACGAGCTGTTAATTCTGAACAATGTCTATGTACACATACTCCTCCCTGTAGGGGTGGTCAGCTTCCTCTGTCCACCCGCCTTGTTAAGCTGTTATCTGGGACCCCAAATGGGACAGATGTAGGATTCGGCACTGGCTTCAATATGCAAGAAGTTATAAAACATTCTAAAATGATTCTTCATGTAGGGTGAGGAAGGACCTATGAATTTTTCTAACATTGCCACCAAGTTGCTATGAATGATAAAGCTAACTCTTACAGAGCACTTACTGGGCACCAGGCAGTGGCTGGGGCTGAAGATACAATGGTGGGAAACTAGATTCCATCCCTGCCCTTAGGAAGCTTGCAGCCTAGCATGCGAGGTGTCAATCGCACCAGTGATCGCAAGGTTGCACCTGCATGAAGTCTAAGAGAGGACAGGGGGGAGCTGTTTGCCTTGGTTAGAGAAGTTCAGGAAGGCCTTTTCGGGGAAGTGGTATAGTAGTTCTTCCAAGATTATTTGTTATACCAGAAACTAAGAAACAAACAAACAAATAATGAGAATTTTTGCCCACAAGCAGCTATTTATATAACCTGTTAAATCTTTAGGATAAAACTCATCTCAGGGGTCACATCCTACAGGTTGAGTAGCCCTTATCCAAAATGCTTGGGACCAGAAGAGTTTGGGATTGGGGATTTTGGGATATTTGCCTTATATATACTTACTAGTTGCGCATTCCAAATCTGAAAATTCAAAATCCAAAATGCTCCAATGAACATTTCCTCCAACGAGCATTTCCTTTGAGCATCATGTTAGTGCTCAAAAAAATTGTATTTTGGGGCATTTTGGATTTCAGATTTGGGGATTTGGAATACTCAACCTGTATATCCTCCTCACATTGCACAGTGGTTCATGCCAGTGGGCCTGGGACCTGGTTAGAGACCATTCTGTGAGCTGTGCCAAGGACCTCCCCCTGTAGGTGCCCTCCTAAGATTAGAGAGGTTCTCAGCCCTGCCTGTACATTACAATCACCTGAGAGCTTTCTTTACAAAAAAAAAAAAAAAAACCCCCAAAACAAAAAAACCCACGCATGTCCAGGGCCCATCCTGGACCAATTAGATCAGAATCTTGGAAAGGTTGCAAGGGAGGGGTGGGTGGGAGGGGTCGGTGGGGGGTAAGTCTGGTACCACCCAGATGAATCTAATATGAAGCCAGGGTAGAGAATTACTGCCTTTGATGAATGCATTTAATTCCACTTAGTCCTATAATAGTAATTTAAAATTACACATTACAAACTTCAGAATGCAAAGGGGATTGCTCTGGTGAGAGGTGTGTGTGAGTGCTTATGTGTGCACACACGTACATGTGGGAGTGATGGTTTGGGAGCTCCTTGCTCTTTGTGTCCTTTCCATTTCTGTGGAATGCAGTGGAAATGCAGCAAATGGCTGGAGGACGGAATTTCTTGGACTCTGGAGTCAGATTGGGTGTCAGAGGGCAGGCCATTCCCAGGGTCATGGGAGTTTGATGCGAGGTGACCATAATGGTTTGATAAAGATGCACATAATGGTTCAATAAAGAAGCTTTCTCCCTCCACTTCCTAATTTCCCTAATCCCCCTCTTCTTTCTCTTCTAATGCTGCTTTGTTTAACCTCATGAATTATGAGGTTTTATATGCAATCTATAGCTTTTTGGAGGAAACACATTCAAATCTTAGATAATGGGATTTTTTTGTCCTTTAAACACATAAAAAACATTGTGTGCACCTTACATGTAAGTGGAATGAATGTATTTTTACCACTAATGTTGAAAATATCCCTAGGCATCTGGTGTGTATGAATGTGTATACATAGTACATGCATAATAAACATATTCCACCTTATGAATATTTATACACAAGATACATATATATTGAATATAGACATACATATGTAAATAGTAGCCCTTGCAAACTATATGCAAAGTGTGTTTCCAAGCATATGTATCATAGTGCATCAGGAATATAAGAAAACTACTACCAACTTTAGCATATTTTGAGGTGGCATTTTCTACAGAGCTGTTTATGGTAGGGTCTAGTTACTATCCATGTATGGGTTTTTTCCATCATTTAAATGTTTGTTAACTACCAACTAAAAGAAAGGCACTGGGCATGGCAGAGTATGAAAGATGACAGAGACGTGATCCCTGTCTTTAAAAGACCTTTACCTCACAGAATGGCTTAAAAATTTTTTATGAAGAATCTACTATTGTCACTGCCCACTGGCATCTTACTGGTTTCTTATGACTGCCTTTTATTTATACACTCCACTGCTACCATCACCAGTGGGGACTTAAAATGGGTCCTATTTGAGCTATATTTGCTTAAACCCTGATGTAGCTGTGGAGTAGTGCTGACGTGGGGGGAAGCAGCAGCCCTGGTTCCAGTGACAGCCACTGGACATGAACAACACTTACACTTTTTTCTCTGTCACATATAGCCAGTCCTATAACTGCATTTCTATTTTACTCTGACTTAGTGGGGGGGGGGAGGTACAATAAAGGGCACCAAACCCCAGAGATGTTCATAAATCTCAAAAATGAAACCCAAACAGAGAAGTCTCTTTTGCCCACAAACTTTTTGTAATCCAAATATTATTGACCATGACATTCCACTTCCAAATTCCATCTACTTCTCTCCCTGGGATAAGTGGCAGAAGCCTTTATTAGAAACAAGCGATACATTCTAAAATGTGCAAAATATAGAACCCTTTCTAAAATGACAATACCCAGTATCGCCGGGGAGCTCTGAGTGACACTCGTCAGGGCAGATTTTTCTCCATTAAAGGAGAAACAATACATACGAGCTGTCACCATGATGCCACAGAGTGTGCTCGTTGTTTCCTCCCCCCCCATCCATACATCACAACAGGTAGTTCTCAGCTGTTCCGTTGGTGCCAGACATACATTTTATCTAAAGAGACAGCAGACAGAACTACCTGCTGCTTCCTGTGCGGCTCTCCCTGTGTTTCTCTCCTTTTTCCTACTTCACTGGGGCTTTTTAAAATCAGCTGGCAGGGAGCCAGGAGCTCATCATTTTAATGCAGTGTAAAATGGAATATGCATAATTATATGCAAGCCATATGTGAGGGAGACAGCTCAGCTGTGAATTTCAGGAGGCCAGGAAAGAGAGAGCAGTTAGGGCTAAGATGAGATGAGAGCAGAGCGGAGTGCAAGTGTCACCCAAATGAATGGTTTAATGAGTGTGCTGCAGACACGCCCCCTTTCACCTACCTCTCCCTTCTCTCCAACTCCAAACCAGAACCTGATGGAGATTAGAAAGAGAAGACTGTATGCAAGCGGTATTGCTAATGGGTTCTGTTAATGTCTCCATTTAAACGTCAGCTTTCTTAATTAACAGTGTAGATCAAAATAATCAGTAACTTTTAATGCAGCTTCTTAATTAAATCTATTTTTTTTTACTACATTTGATTGAAGAATCATTGTTCTTACTAGATCATCGCTCCTTTTAGATCATTATTTAAAAATGGAGGGGGATCAGTTTCTCTCTAATAGTATTACAATGCAAAATATAACTATGCAAATTGCTTTTCTTATGGCCTTGCTATTAGAATTTTTTTAAAGTGCATTATCTAGAGATTGCTTAAGCATGCCAAAAAGTTTAAACACGTATGTATGTCATATAATCCTAAATGTGCAATGAACAATGTGCACTGGAGGACTAAAATGGTGATAATTTCCAAAAAAATTATTGGAGTTTGATTTGCTTTCATATTGTTTTAAATATTACACCACAATGAATTTGCATGTTCAAACTAAACAATGTAAAGAAAAATAAATCCCAGATTTTGATATCTAAAAGGTGTACTGCGTATTTAAACAAACTTCTTAATAATGTTGTTATATCTGGATTCCCGTTTGTTTAATGATCTGAGCTGTTATGCTTTTAGCTTTTTTTTCTTCCATTATTTGTAAGTCCCTAAATAGGCCATTATATTTCCCTTCAGGCTAGAGATGAAGATGGACATGCTGAAAATTTTCCCCAGCAGCACTATGCTAAGGAAACTCCAAGGCTTGCCTTCAAGAATAACTGCGAACTACTTGTAAGAATAACATACTTACAACAAGTCTAGAATGTTACTTTAGCACAGTGAAAAGAGTTTTTGAAAGGGTTTGTTCATTATTACATAATTTATGAAATATTATAGTTTTTCTGTATAGAGTTCTAAATGCTAATTCTGATATCACTGAATATTCATTATAAGATCTCAAATTGTTTGCAAATCTTTTATATCTGATTATAGAGCTTGAATGACCCTGTCTTTATTAGCTTGTTTTGTATGGTAGTTTATAAGCAGCCACTTGGAGAATGGCTAGTAATGTTAAAAATATAGAGAAAGACAGTTGATATATGTAGCTTGGAATAAAACCAACCCCACCCTTACCCCTCCTCCTGCGTCCTAATTGTACTCTATTTTAGGAGACAACATTGTAATATTTTGTTCTGCTAGGAAAGATAGCAGAGTTGACACGCAGTACTCCCTTTAGAATTCAAGTATTCCTTCACTCTCTTGCCAAACTCAACCGTCTCTCCTATGTAGAAGGAGTCAAAGCAGTGACAGGGTGCGGGGATGTTTATAAGTCGTGAGAGAGAGGATATCAGCTGTGACAGAAACTCTGTTCCAATGCAGGGTTAATTTGCTGTTCATTTTAGCATTTACAGCGAGACAAGATGAAAAGCAAGCAGGAATGCCTATTATATTTCTATTAAATGAATCTGTTGGGACCTAATGTTCTTGATTAGCTTTTGAAAATGAGTGCTCTGCAATGCATTTTCTGTTTACCTAAAGTAAACAGAGAATGAATTGTCATTTATTTAGAGATTCAAACACTGCTTTTGAAAATGAAGCTTTATGAGGGATCTAGCTATGTTGTCCCTAAACGTTCTTTTCTTTTCAATTGCATTAAAGCAAAACATTTGCTCCAACTAAATGAAAACACTGAAAGAGAATGAGGTTGCTCAGTTGTTACATTTTGAGGTAGTCTAATTTCTGTTTAGTTTTTTTGGCCGAATACAGTACAGCTCTGCCAGGTCTCTGCATTAGGAAATCCCACATGTAACAGTCTTTGGATTTAGCTCTGATACCAACTGTTCATTAAAAACAGTGTCCAAAGAGCAGGAGAGGAGAGAAAAATACAGTTCTTACCCATTCTAGCTAGCTACATGTTGACAGCAAGAACCTCCTTTTCCCCGCCACACTCTGCACAGTCACAATAGCACTACTCATTCTGTGTGTGTAGTCCCTTGACCAACCAATCCACAGGCAAACATGCTGCTTATAAATGCAATTTTTTCCCTGAAAATTTAACTTACCTTATATTTTATCTTAGGACTCTTAAACTTCCAGACCTGCTATCGTTACGTATTCTGGGGCAACCCTTTTTGCTCATTGCAGTTTAAATGTTTCTCTCTATAGCTGGTGTTACCCAGCAGAAGAGCACAGGGGCCATTTAGGCTATGTTTTGGTATCAGAATGCTTTTGGGAGTTCTTTTCAGAGAAATTGTTAAAAATAATGTGCCATGATTACTTTTTTTCTATTTATTGGAAAAATGAACGTGCTTGAGTCCTGGTTGTGGTCAGTTTATCCCGGAGGAAGTAAAACATATATGTGAACATCTTTTACAGCTATCTTTAGAGAAAATAGGTATTTCATCATTGGTGTGCTTAAGCACAGTATTGTGTTGGCAGTGGTCTTGAGAGATTTGGTACAATTTTTGTCCTTCTAGTCACTGTTAGAAATGCTTTATTTTGGTCAGCATGCTTTCCTGTGATCAAAGAAATAGGAGAATAAAGAGAAAACACAAGCTTATTTCTCCAAGGAGAAATTTTATTTTTTTCAGCTGTAAGAAAAGGGATGGTGTTTGGCTGATTATGAAGCCTTGAGAAGTTATGCTTCTATAGGAAAAAGACTTGTTCATTCATAAGAGAGAAATAGGAAGTCCTTGGAGTTTTCTTAGTGCAGCTTAGAGCAGATTTTTAAAGAATCTGTCAGAGAAGATTGCAAGCTCCGCTCCAAAGTGCTTTTTTAGCTTAAGGGTGGCTCTGCCATCTTCTTGCATGGTTTGCTGCAGCAAGAGCAGCAGCCAATATAGATATGGGAGCTGGGGGGGGGGCACTGGGGGTGCAGGTTACTTCTGGGCTCCTGCATGATCTGGAGCACGTGGTTGGAAGGCTAGTCCTCTAGGCCACAGGCACTGACAGAAAGTGCCCTGGCCAGGTGCACAGGACATTGCCTTGACTTTATTACCGACTCTCTAATGTCTCTGCCTGCAGCCCTGTCTTCCTGCCCCACCCACCTCTGCTTCTTGGAAGAGGGAGGAATATTAAATAACCCAAACAAAAGCAAAGTAAAATCAATGCCTGGAATACACAAGTATGTGTAATCAGAAGGCACTGACAAAGAAAGCATTGGCTGATAGAAAAATCTGCTATGCAACTGTAGATTTCCTGTAGGGTATTGATTTTTCCATTTAAATCCCAAACTGTGATATGTGCCTTCACACTTAATGTACAACACAGATGACTAGATATTTAGTTTGGTGGCCAAGATTTTTTAGTTGGTAGTAGTGCAGCAGTTTCCTTATGCTTTTTATTAATTTTGAAAATGCAAGGCTGTCAAGATGAGTGACGTTAGATAAAACGAGTACTGTTTGATGCATCACAATTCAATTTGGCCCTACCTACCCCTTTGTAGATAGGTGTGTACACGAATATACACACATGCACACACACTCACACACACCAGGGTATTTTTCTAAGCTATGACCAAAGGTAACAATTTTGAATAAAAGAAAATGCAGGAAATTTATATTGTATTAACACTATAGCGACATAGTTTACAAGAGCCCAGCAAAGAGAATATTTAGAGCCAGCCACGGGTTAGACTAGCCTTTGCCCCAAATTCCAACTCCATTGCTGGTCCTTTTATCATTATTGCCTTATTCTTTGGGGACCGGAAAGCTTCTCATTTTCCCTATTAAAATGCTTATATCACTGGTGGAAGTTGGGTTAAAAGGTAGAGTGAGGAGGACCTTAAACATGTTATGAGCTCACACCTTCTTATCAGCCAGTACTTTCTCAGTTCTTGAAAGCCCACTGAGTAAGACCTTGCAGAAATACAGAATAGGCTCAGTCATGGGAGGGGAAAGACCTATGGCTAGAATAAGAGGAAATGTGGAGAGGGTTTTGAGAAGGAACTGAATACTGCTGAGCCTATTCCCCAAGTTTTCTTAGGACCAGTTCAGAGAACATTGCTCTATTCAGGAAGAAGGTCAAAATATAATCAAAGAATAGTAGCAACTGATGTAATATTATTTGGCTGGGGGGAAAAACAGGTTTGGGAAATCTGAAAGGGAAAATAAGAGAAAGGAAACTTGGATTGGTAGTAGGGGCAGTGGCAAAGCAGCCTGCCTTCCTCAGTTCCAGACTCCTGAGTCATCACCTAGACGAAGTCTGAATCCCTTCGCCGTTTCCTCGGGGCTGTCAGGGGTGAGGGTTTTGCAGAGAGAGAGGAGGGAGCCCACAGCTGGGAGGCTGAATAAAAATAGCATCAAGGAAGAATTCTTTCTGGTCACTTACAATGCCAGGCTAGGGAGAAGATGAAAACTATTTTAGTTTTGTGGCCTCGTGAACAGAGATGATGGGGAGGAGAGATGCTTAGGCTATTCTTCTGTGGGCTGGCTTTTCCGTCTCATTTCTTTGTGGAGGCAAAGAGGTGGATTGTGAGAGTTGAAGGTAGTTCTTCAGCAGTAGAAAGGCCCCGTGTTGATGCAGTGTTCAAATAACAAGACATTACTGAGCATCTTCTATGTACAAGCATCCTACTCGACAATGCAGGTAGGGACACAAAACAGAGTGCTTTCCCTGAAGGAGTTCACAGTTCAGTAGGAGAAATGAGGCATGTACAGTATCATGGTCATCAAGAATGTGGGCTCTCAGGTCTTCTTGAAAGTCAGAAGTTTGTCCCAGCCAGATTTTAGTTTATACCACATCACCCTGGTGGTATAGCTAAGGATCATAAGCACAAAGGCTTAAAATTTATTGTGATATCTCTGATATCACATTACATCACACTGGATCTCTGTTTCACCCCTGGAACCTCTCTGAGCTTCAGATCCTCATCTGTAAAATGTGCTAACAAAATGCAATAACCTCAGAGCATACTGCTAGGATCAAAAGTGATGGCATATTTAAAGAGCGTGGTACATAGTAAGCATGCAGTATGTATTAGCTGCTGCTGCTATTATGATTATTCACATAATCATGATTGTTATCATTTCACAGTGAACTGTGCCCCAACAGAGTACTAGCAAAGTTCTGGAGTACAAAGGAAGAAGAGATCATTTCCATATGTGATCATTAAAGACTTAACAAGGGAGGCTACCTTTGATCTAGGCCTTACGTGGGTTGGATTTGGACAGCTGGAGCTGGCATGTAAGGGTGTTCCAAGCAGAGAGAAAAGCATGAGCAAAGGCATGGAGGCGAGAAGTACAGGCCAGGTGCCCCATGCCCTGGTTGGTATCGAAGCTGACCAAGCGTAGAGTGCCCAGAGGCTAAGGGGTAAGCAGTCAAGCAGGCCCATTTGCAGGGGTATTAATAACACCAGCCTATCAAGTCTGGAAATCCTAGTACTTCTGTGGATTGAAAAACATATATTATGGAAAATTTCTAATATGGGTAGTGAGAGCCACATAATGAACCCCATGTACCTTTCACCCAGATTCAGCAATTATCAACTCAGGGTAGTCCTGCTTCATCTGTCCCCTTCCCCCTACCCCTTTTTTGCTATGAAGTATGCATGCTTTTGAGGTGGGCAGGTTGGGGTTTTTTGTTTTGTTTTGTTTGGTAAAGACTGTAGCATCCCTCTTCCCTGGCTAGAAAGAATCCACTGAAAATGATTACATTGGGAATTGGAGCTTTGGGACCATGCATGTATAAAACAAATGACTCTTGGTTATGCACTGTGCTCTTCCCTCCCTCCCCAGCACAACCTCATAAGGCTTGGGCATCAGACTGAGTTTAAAAAGACACACCACAGTACC